GAACACGAGGTTATTGGATCATTAAGTTGGGCCCGTCGGGTTTGACACGGAATGGTGAGGACGGACTCGAAAGCCTAAGACAGCTCCAGTGCTCAGCTCCAGTGCTCAACTCAGAAGCAAAAACTTCCTTCCTTTTTGCCGTATAATCTCTGCCATAAATACTCAATAGAGACTGGAACTGCAGATTTCTAACGCATTATTAGCATCAGGAAAACAGGTTCGAGGCCATCCCCCGACCCCACTCCCAGCTTCAGTGGTGCAGTGAGGAGTTGACTAGTAGGAGAAGCTGAGCTGGGGTCTGTAGAGCAGGGGGCAGGGCATGGCGGGCAAGGGCAGGAAAAGGTCAACACTAGACTCTTCACGCCGGTTTGAAGTCCTGAAAATGAGAGTTTATTCAAGATGCTCATTCCACATAGGGTGGATTGCTAAGATTTGGGCTGTCTCCTAAGAAATCCTCAAGAAATATTAAATTACCAACAATAATGCTATATGATAAATACATTGTCACTTCCCAAGCAGCTCTGCAGTGTTTAGGGAGGGCTCCAGGTGATTGATAATAACATGTCTGAAGGCAGCGTGCTCTGAAACGCACTTGGGAAAATGCTGGTTGAGGGTAGAATTAAAACGTGTGCCGCTGGCTGTGAACTTTCGACACGACTATCCCTCTAGGCCAGTTCATAAAAGAGAAAATTTCCTAAAATCGAGGACTTAAAACTGTGCTATTATGAAATTATGCTGGGAATTACAAAGATGTAGGCTTTGCAACAAAAAGTCCTGCTCCCAATTTCTTGAAGAACATTTAACTTGCCTCCACCATAAGCCTGATGACATTTTAGGAAACATGTATAGAACGTTTATGATCAGAAGCAATTTAAATTACTATGCTTTTTATTGACTACCATTGTCTTATTAAGAAATTTACTGTGTTTCAAGTGTTTATTGTGAATTAATACTTTGCAATTCAGAAAGAACAGATCAAAAAATCCTCCCATGAACAGAAATTGACACAGAGCTGGGCACAACTAATTCTTTGAACAGAGAAAGTGGGACCTTCTGCTCTCCTCCAGCACCCAGCCCAAGGCTTATATGAGCAGAAGTTCAATAAATAATAGTTGGATTAGTCACAAAAGTGATATAAAAGTTATTCATAGCCCACAAAGTAACTGAAATACTACGCATTGCCGATTAGTATAATAAGTAAAAAACAGTACTATCTATACAAGTAAATTTAAACTAAAAGGAAAAAAATTAAGTAAGTTCTTCAGTGCATCTTAAACTTTGGTGCTTAATGAACAGCATGATTAAATTCTGCTCCAACCTGATCACACACAAGATTACTGTGTTGACCCTGGGTTGCCACAGTTAGGAAGGAAATACAGATTCAACAAATACTTGAACTTCCATCATGTATACAAAGCTCAAAGATGCGTTCAGATTCCAGCAGTGCCAGCCCTGACTACCAGGGGGCACCCCAGGCAAGCACATCTTAGTGGCTGGTAGAAAGCGGAGGGAAGCCAGCCTCTCCACACCCAGGCGGCAGGCGTTCCACCCGGAGAGAGACAATGCAGGCGACTCTCTCTTCACCGTGCACTTTCCTTGCCAGAAAT